AAAATTAAACCAGGCCAATAAGTCGACCTAACACATTTATATGCTTGCCAGATCATGTAGATGAGGCATCATTGGCAAATATCAAAATGGAATGCCAAAGATGGCCAGAAAGCCTTTAACATCGGGGAGGTCTGGAACCCAGTATGTTGCCATGGTAACAAAATTGGCAAACTTATATTGTGGAACACATCTAGTAGAGTCTTACTGCAAAGAATCAAACATTTCTGTTACAAATTGGTTGAGATATCCTTTTTTCGTATTTGATCAAAATTCGGTTGAGTTCATGACGTCATCACTTCGCTAATTTGCATATTTTAGAAACTTGAATATCTCTGGAACGAAAATAGATATTTGAAAATAGTAAACGGCATTTTTCTGATGTCAAAAAGTTGTCAAAAATTAATCAAAAAAAATTGTCGAGTGGCAACGGTAGGGTGCGTTTCACTGTAATATGATTAGAATTTCTGTCAATTAAAGTGAAGTGTTAATACTATTTTCATCGACTAAATCAAAAGAAAGATCTTAGTTAAACTGTAATGAAAAGTGGCAACACTTCAATGGAACTTTCTAGATGCGTGAGTAATCTAAGATTGCATTACACAATGTCTTCCCCTTTCGAATAAGATCAAAAACTATTTTTCAAATTAACCAGAAAAATCCATTGAATATAAAAGCAATTTAAGTCAAGTCCTATTTTCTTTTTTACCTCATGTAACCATGTAGTCTCTACATGGTTACAGGAGATATTGTAGTTGGATTTGTGTCACTCACTTTCCACATATTTGTTAGTTAATTAGTGAGCAAATCTGTCATCTAGATTGATCTGCTTGATGTAAGAAATATTTTGCGGCATATGTTCATGTATCCTACATATGTGCATAGTTACTTAATATACTGTGTTTTCCCTTTCTGATCTCTTAAGGCAATTATTAGTTTGGTGGACAAGTGCGTTACTGAGTCTGTACTGTTCTAGTTTGATTATTCACCGCTGTTAGGTCCGACCAAGTTATTTATTAGGTTAAGAGTCTAGTAATAATTCAGTGGTCTGATAGTATTATTGTAATCAAGGAAATGCAAGGCAGGATACAACCTCGTTCCCAGGGTCTCTCTTCTTCCCGCCAAAAGCGATCGAAAAGAGACCCTGGTTCAGGCTGGTCACGTGTCTCCAAGAATATGGGAGATTACAAATAAACGATTCGAGGGAGGGGCAGCTAAGTGTGAAATTTGTCTCTACTGAGTGTTGTAAAAATTTGTGGTAAACACTATGGCGGTTCCAAGATGCCAAATAAATCGTCTGCTAGTACTGTATGTTAAAATTAGAGTTGTTGTAGGCTGTGCAAATCGGTTGGGGATGTATCCTGCTCAAAGAAAGCCAGAGTTCTCAGGCGTTTTATCGAAATATCGCCATATGTACAACAAACATTTAACAAGAGTGCGAAGGCCGGCGAAGGTTCGAAAGGCAGCCGTCGCGTTTCGAATTCAGGACAGGAAAGGGGTAAATAAAATCTTTATAGTTTTTATTTATTCGGTTACGATGTTTGCTCGATTCTTTTTTCTGTTCATTTGATGGTCTCGTGTATTTTGTCGCTACCGGCGGCGTTGCGAATATTATTTTAAAAGTTGACAAAATGAGCCGATCATAACATTGCGATCGCTAGGAATCTTCAAGAAAATTCAACCCAACTCCAGGTAAATTACGTACTATTGTTTGTTTTCATTGCACCCGCCTTACCTTTAGCCTTTAGGATCTTAAAAAAGAAATAACTCGACATGCAACGTGCATTCACTTTGTTTATTTACATTGTGCGATGTGTTAGATTTTACAGCATTTTAGACTCGCAAAATATGAGCTTGGTTTGCCGGTTTAACAACATCTCGGCCACAGTAAATTGCCCCTAAACACTTAACTTGCTTGGGCTTAAAAAGAGATCTTAAAACGACCGCAATTCCCTGTGAACAGTGGCGGTTTCGTAGTACAAAAGAGGCGCGACAAAGATTCGTAATTATAGGAGCCCTCCCTAGAGTTTAAAAATGTCACAACTACACGTTGGGATGAGATATTTAGTTTTAAACATAGATTTGACCTCTGCGATCAAGTTGCAGAACATCTGGAACTAATTCACCTTGGATAACATGCCACCTTTGGAACTTTGGAATCATAAAATGAAACAGACTAATGGGTACTGATATGCAGAACTTTCGAGTTCTGCCCTTTGCCTGGCTATGCCAGATGAGTCCTAACCAGGACGAAACAGCTGTCCATGTGGCTGCCACTCCACATGGCTCAATCACTCGCTATGATGCAAATATGAAGCAAATTTTAAAGAAATGTTTGAATTACAACTTTTTTTCTATCCTGCACCTTACTATTACTAGGATGTAATAAGTTAAATATTCACACTGCACTGCTTTTATTGTGGTACAGCAAATGTCAGCAAACCACTTTTGCATTCAGTGCCCCTTCCCCCCCCCCCCCCCCCCCCAACGCAAACAATCCATAGTATATGTTGCTGTTTACAAACTACTATACCACATTCAAGTATTTTTCTCTTCTTTGAGGTACAGTACCAGTCAAAATGTAAGTTGACAGTATATCGACTCGAAACTCGATCCTCTATGTTTGTGAGAATCAAGAATTGAGGCTCAAGTTTTGAGTATCGAGTTTCTAATTTCTAGACACTCGAAAAAATTTTCGAGAATCTCAAATACAAGTAAAATCTGAAATATTTTGGATAAAAACCCCAAAACAAAAAGAATCAAAATCACATTACATTTGGTTATAATTCAAGAAAAAAAAATAATAATTCAAGAAAATCAAACAAATAATGTCTGTGACTGCAGAATTTCCATCAGTTACCACATTTTTATGTTGTGTAACAAACACAACATATTAGTTTGTGTGGAGCTTTTGTCATGACATCACTAGATCCTAAGATGTTGACAAATGGAAATTTTAAAGAAATGTATGGAAAATTGAATTACGAGATTTTGCTTCTGACAACGCTTCAAATACTACTGCAATGGCGCAAGATATATATTTTTGCTTGAGTCATGGTTTTCCTTGGGGTACACTACAAGCTACTTGTGCAAAAGATGCATGCGTGTAGCGCCCAAATTCAGAATATAATCATCAGAAGCTCTATTTATTGACATGATTCCCTACTAGTCACTGCATACGTGATTTGCCCCAAATTAGGACATTTTAAGGAAAAGGGCAATATACAGTATGAGTATTTTCTTCCAACTACATGTAACCATTATTACAAAAGCTGTAATGTTGTGTCAAAATCTAATTTAGCTGTTCTGTTATGTTGTCTTTTTTTTCCTTCAGTGATCCAGGCTCTGTTGGCTTGATGGTAGACAAACTCATTACTCAACTTGGCTACCAACCAGTGAGTCAGTGGATTGCTAAAGGAGGTAGTCAGCAGTATCCACCCAGCAGTCTGCATGTATGTTCTAAGAATTAAATTTATAAAGAAATACTGCAGTTTGTCCACCTGAGTAGACGGAAATAATTCACTTGCAAAAAAACCAAATCCACTGAAATGACATATTATTATGTGGACGTAACATATTTGACGTCCAAGTATTAATTCGCCCATTTCTGGGTGACTAAAAGACTTGGTCGAGTGTCTCGGCCAAACCAGTAGGATGAGAGCTGGGGCAGAGTGCTGTTTGCGTAACACAGTATTTTCAAGTCTTGTCTGCGAACTTACCGTAAAACTCCATGTATAAGCTGCGCCCGAAGATAAGCCACACCCCCAATTTGGAAGCTCAATTTTGGGAAAAAAGATAAGACAAGTTTCAGAACACTAAATTATGTGGTTCTTACAAACATTCAAATTTATTAGACGGTCAAATCTTACTTGTCATACCTTTTATGCATTCAAGATCACCATGTCTTGAACTTAAAATGCTCTTTTGTTTTAATTTTTTTTGCTTTGACAACACATTTAAATGAAATGTACGAAGCGATAGCTTAAGGCCCGTTTACATTTTCTCTGAAAATTATACTAAATTTTATTATTATTCAGAGACAGGCAAACACAAACGATAAAAACCAATGTTTTGGTGTCTTCATGACAGCTGTAATGCAGATATCAACAGGGCTAGATTATATCCCCTGATAAGACCGAATGTTAAACAATGATCATTCTAAAATTAAGACTGCATGTTGTTAATATCTAATAGCTCATAATCATTATAAGGTGGGCACAAGGATGCCAGATACTTGGTTGGATAAATTTTCCTGAGTCATATTCAAACAGTGATTTACGCAAACTAAGCTCATTTTAACAGTTTACAACAATAGCCTGTATTGCCCAGATGTGGGCTTTAAAGGCTTTAAATCACATCAGCACTGTATACAAGATTGGGGTGACATAGTCGCTTTTAAGATTCTATATTTTAGATAAGCAGGGCTCACATGCAAAATTATTAAAGGTCAGTACAAAGTGTGCTCTTTAAACAAACACGTCAAACATCAATCAAATTACACCTTCTGGAGCTTAAATTAAATAGCAACATATATATGAAGAATCATTGAAGTGTATTGAAATTTATTTTGAATCTGCTGTCAATGCATTTCAAAACATTCAGGTAACTATTTTGTCTTTAATCGGTGATCTCTTGCCAACTTAGGTTTCGGGTGAGGTACATTACAGTTAGCTGAATGAAAATAACCTCCCCCCAATCCAAGTTTAGGGCTGGGGGGGGGGGGGGGGGGGTTACTTAATAATTATTATTTCAAGATTTTTTTTTTCTTTTCTTAACAAAATAAATCGGTTGCAATTTTTTTAATCACCTGTACTGCAGGATACTAAAATAATGTAAGCTATTTTCTTAGAAAAAATGTATATGAACTCAAATGGTTACATACTTGTTCTTTTCAGGGCCTGTGCAGTCTGTACTTACTAGAAAAAGTTCATCCTACTTGGAAACACTGTATTGTATCCTTTATCAAAGAATATATAAAAAAATGCAGCCACCTTAGTGTGGTTGTTCCAGTGGCCTAGTGGTATTAGGCATCTGACCGGTAACCTGCAGGAGACCCGGGTTCAAATCCGGCTGGGACACATTTTTATGTTGTGTTAAGCAATATATTGCGTGACACAATATAATCTTATGGGTAGTTTTTGTCATGGGATCACTTGATCCGAAGATGTTAACTTTTGGAAATTTTAAAGAAATGTATGGAAAATTAAATTACGAGATTTTGCTTCTAACATCGCTTCAAATATTACTGCAACAGCGCAAGGTATATATTTTTTTGTGTCGCGGTTTCCCTTATGGTATGCTACAAGCTACTTGTGCAAAAGACGCATGTGTGTAGCGCCCAAATTCGGAATATAATCACTAGAAGCTCTATTTATTGACCTGATTTCCTACAAGTTGCCCCAAATCAGGACATTTTAGGGGAAAGGACAATCTCTACGACTAAAAACAGCAAATATATTGAAAAAGTGAGTAACTTGAATGAAATGTTTTCTCAGCTATAAACAAAGCAGAGAATCATTAGCCGTGCCTTTCAAGCTTCAAATTCTGTTCAATACAGAGGCATTTCCCTGGGCTGTACGAGCTGAAATATTTCCTGAAGTTTATCAGCGTATTGAGTTTATAACAGGAATCGCATCGAAAATTAAATATTCGGAAAGCAAAGACGAATGTCAGAAGGCAAAATCACTTGCAAAATACATGTAGTCTGTATAAATATGACTGTGACCTTTAGCGCGTTATTCGATCACTTTAACTTTACACCATTATGATGTGTAATGCAATGCGTGCTTTATAACTCGACTATTTTTGGCCTGTGATGTTAGCAAATTGAAATTTGAATCAAATCGAGTCAAATCAAATAGATTATCATAACACAACATGGCCTAAGTGCCCTAGTCACTCATAATCTTTGTTGTTGTGTTTCTGTTCCTATTACTTAATTCAGTCTATGTATTTATTTCAGTTGATATTCTTAACGTGACACAGTTATTTTATCTGTTGCTTGATTGGTGCTTCCTGGATACTGAACTTCAAAGGAATGAGGTATTTTTGTCTCTATCTTTAATAATTTTGTTACTCCTTTCTGGACTTAATTTTAACTGTAAGCTAAGTCTTTGTTTTGTCTCATTATTGTTATATTCTGACAGGCTTGTGTTTGTGTTTAACATTTTTTTAAACATATGAACAGGGCACTAATAAATTGTATTTTTCTTCAAAATTATTCAATTTCTTGAAATTAAAGCTAGTGTTTTATTTCTTTGTGTTTGCTTAGGTGGCAGCAAAATTTGTTAAAGCATTCAACATGACAGATGAAGTAATCAAACTCATTCAAGGATTCTGGATGCTTGATCACCAATACTCTGAGGTAGAGTTATGCATTATCTTACATGAAGTTTATTGTAAGAATAATTTTATAACAACCCTTTTTGGCTAGAAATTGCCATACAAACTATCATAATCATAACATTTTTATTTTTATAATGTACTTTATTAACACATTTTAACATCACTACATACAAACAGTGCATAATAACACTAACACTACTTACAACGTTAAACACGGACCGAGCCTATAAAAGGCAAGGACACGCCCCCTCTGAAGCGCTTTGTTGGCTATTTTTATCATTAATGGAATGTGGTGGAAGCCGAGACGTCACACAACAATGGTCGTAGATACAACCGTCGAGAAAATTGGGGTTGGTTTATCCAAACAACTAATTGATTTATGTCAAATAAAACAAGCTAAATAATAAATAATTATTGAGCGTAAAACAAACACATATATTCGCCATTTGGAAGAACTGAATGCAAACAATGAATTCCCTTCGCCCGTTTCGACATGTACAGTACAGTCCAAGTCCCTAAGAATTTAAATTTCGCGGCTAACGAAAATTGCTGCAAAGCTCAAGCCTGCGATCAAAGAGCCACCTGTTTCCATTTATCTGGGTTCATCGAGAACTAGAACGAGTCTTGTGAAGGTGACTTTGGCGGGATTTTCAAAATTATTCAGATTTACAAGCTTTGTGATTGTGCAAACAACTTGGACAATACTGAATAATTGCACATAATTAGACCTGGGTGAATTAACAAATCAAATGAGACCATTGGTCGTCCATTGGGATTTGTGATTGGCAGGCTGAACACCTCAGCCTCGATTTATAGGGTCGCTCTGTGTTTAAGGAATTAAAACAGCGCATAATTATAGTGGAAAAAAAACTAATTGAAGGGCTCCGGGCAAAAATGCCCCCTTGGTTAATTGATTCTTTTTGTTTCTTTTGTTCGGTTCCTTTTGTTTCTTTTGTTTCCAAAAAACCAAGGGGACAATTTTGCCTGGAGGCCTTCAATTAAAGAAAGAAACAAAATATCTAAATACTGTGGAACCCCGTTAATCCGACCACCAACGGGCCAACAAAATCTGGTCGCATTAACGGGGTGGTCGTATTAAAGGGGTTCTTAAATAAGAAAATGACTGATAGAACTTCAGTTCGGGACAAAAGAAAGTGGTCGTATTAACGGGATGGTCTTAAGGCGGGGTTCCACTGTATATATAATATATATTTAGATATTTTGTTGCTAAATATAGCAATTCTGACTTATGTGTGAAACAAGTATATCATTATTCGGTTCTACGTTTATTTTCATTGTTCAGTTTCACATTTTTCAATTTTCCATTGTGTTAAAAGTTTTTGTTTTAGTTCACTAAATTCTGGAATCTTTTTTGTCATTTTACACAAATAGAAGTAATTTTGGGCTAATAAGACACATGCCAAATTTGTGGCTTAATATAGCATGGGTCTATAGTCTTTATAAAGAAGTTGTTGACTAGACAGATTAAAATTGGTTTTATGTTCGTTGTTAAGAGAGTATCTCTACAAAAATCAAACATAGTGTGGCAAAACTTAAAAAATAGAATTCGCTATCCTTTTGCATACAGTTAGTCCTTAGTAAGAATACAAACTCTATGTAGTGTTTTTAGTGCAAAGTGCACTGTAGGTATGGATGTGTAGGGCCGATAAGTGATAAGAAGATTGTTCACTAGCTCGCTATGCCGTAAACTTTGATAATCAATTAATTAATTGATATTAATTAATCAATCTTGGGGCATCACGCAAGCTCACCGCGCAAAACATCAAACATCTTGATCAAACATTTCAAGTATTCTTTGGGTTGCACGATGGGTATGTTCTTGGTGGAGTATCCAAGGTTGGTAGGCTCCATATTGATTCGGAGAGTGCTCAACAATAAAGGAGCGAAATATATGAATATTAAGTTCAAAGTCATACGGGTAGAGTGCTCAATACCAAGGTAGAGCTAAATAGTGAGAAACAGTAAACCTGAGTTACTTCATAGAACTTTGATACACTACAAATCTGCTTCTTGAGTGCTACACTTTCGGTGGTTCAGGGTTGAAATTGAGTGTGTGGGCATATCCACTTTTCTTGAGGGCTTCTTGATATGGGGGGATGGCTGAGTCAAATGATGCTTTATCGGATGAAATGTTGGATAATCTTTTGTTGATGGCTTCCGGTATGTTGCGGAGTATCGAGGGCGGATGGTTGCAATGTCGGTTTACATATTGAGGGGTGTTGTTGGGTTTGGTGAATGGTTTAAACGAGCCGATTCTTAGGTCAAAGGTGATGTCTAAGTAATCGACACATTTCTTGTTCGCTTCGATGGTAATCTTCAAGTTGTTGTCACTGAAGGTTTTGCATATTTGTTTCTTTATGTTCTCAATTTCTCTGGGTGTTTTGACGAATGCAGCCAGTCCGTCGTCTCTGTATAATCCAATGTTGTTTCCATATTTCAAGGATAGGTCATATAATAGGTAGGAGCCCGCCAGTTCGCATGTTTCTGCACCGTCAAAGCTTCCCATGGTTACATCAAAGAGTGAGTTGGATGCTTTCTTACACCATGGTGTGCCTTTACTGAAGAGTAGGGACTTCTTTGCTTGGATGATTATCTTTTTCTCTTGGTCGGTTATTTCATCGTATTTTGAAGCAAATACTAAGGCTTTCGTCAGCAGATCTTCTGATATAGATTGATAAAAATCCACTATATCGAAGCAGATGAACGAGTGCGCGGGTTTGTCGGGGATGTCCTTATACCATCTAATAACGGAGTCGGAGTTTTTCCATTGATTTAAGCTGGTGGATGCCACTATTTTTTTTGCTTACAATGCCAATTTCAGACTTGGATGGGTTTATGAGTCTACACGTAGGGTTGTTGTTGAAGTTTGGTTTGTGGTCTTTTAATGTTATGAATGAATCTTTGTTATGAATCAAACAGTTCTACTCATAAAAGCGGTTGTCAAACTTCAGCGGCAACAGCTTTCCCTCTCTCCACATATTCGCCATGACGGGAATGTACCGCCGGAGCCTCTTTCTGCATACTACCTCCAGCTCTTTCACTGATCCTCCTTGCAGGTCACGGATTACGAGGTCATGCTCTCTCGATTCCACAGTCTTCAATTCTGCCACGGCGACGAAATCTCGCAAGGGGCTCCTTGGGCAACCGGTTAGACGAAATGCATTCGCCATGCTGACAGTCACACAAGTGTTCTACATAACTGATAAGAATTTGTGTAGCCCATCTCTTTTTTTTTCTTTCTCGCCCGAAACGTTTTTAATGGTGACTGAAGCATTGACACACACAAGCCGTGATCGAGAGGACCTGGGACTCCTGGAAAATCAGGACGTGGATCGGGGATCAACGATCAGGGAATCAAGGAAGATGGGTGTCACGTCATGTCACACATTCTAAGATGGAATCCAGAATCTAGTTTCTCAAATCTGACTTCGACTCTGCTGCAAGGTTTTTTCTAAATTCAGAACGGACTTGTCCCCGGATCTCTTTCTTGATTTTTTCAAGATCAGGCGGGGAGGGTTGGCTTACTTTTTTGCCGCGCATCCGCGCATCAGAGCTGATTGCGGCTTTGAGTTCGTTATATTTTTGGACTTCGCGAACAACAATGTTGAATTCGCTGTCTGAAATCTGGTTGTCAGCGGACGCTTTCGAAACCAACTCGCTGACAGAATTCAGCATTTTTTCGTGTTTTCTGCCTTTGGTTTCAAGTTTTTTG